GCAGTACACTGCAAGCGTGCTGGAGAGGGAGATCTCTTATCTCCCTTCCGGTACTGCAGAGCAAGCAGGGGAGAGGGAGGCACAGTTCTCGATGCTATCATCATAGCACCAGGAAAATATCTCGTGGCTTCCCTGTGTTACCGGCACACAGTTTGGGAACCGAACCGTTGATCTAGATGACTGTTCTTGTTCTTGGTTAGAACATTGGCTTAAGGAAAGAGTAGCACGAGTTGTCATTAATGAAAAATGTTCAAGCTGGACAAAAGTGGTAAGTGGTTCTGTTTTGGGACTACTTCTATTTAACATATTTATAAATGATCTTGAAACACGCATTGAAAGCCATGTTTTAGTGTTTGCAGATGACACAAAACATTGTAAAGTAATAAAATGTAAGCAGGATATTGCGTTTCTGCAGAGGGATTTAGATAGATTGGGGGACTGGGCACTAAAATGGCAGATACAATTTAATGAAGAGAAATGCAAAGTTATGCACTTCGGGGTCAAGAATGCACAAGCAACTTACACCCTAAATGGTAGTGAATAAGGGATAACAACACGAGAAGGATTTGGGAATTGTTATAGACAACAAATAAGGCAGCAATATGCAATGTCAATCTGCAGTTGCTAAGGCCAGTAAGGTTTTGTCATGTATAAATAGGGGCATAAATTCTCAGGATGAAAATATAATGTTGCCTCTTTATAAATCGCTGGTAAAACCACATCTTGAATATGCAGTGCAATTTTGGGCACCTGTTCTAAAGAAGGACATTATGGCACTAGAAAAAGCACAGATAGCCGACTGCTTAGGGGTGACCCTACAAATACACCTAATAGGCACAAGGGGTCAGGAAAACCAAAGATAGGTGCTGGGACATTTTGCTTAAAATGAAATATGCACTGAGTGTCAGTTACGGGCCTTGCACCTTGACGCACAGAAGATTGGGGCTGGTAGCTACCTGCCTAGGCTAGGAACTTGAGTTCCCTGGAATGGGGGAGTGGGGGCTGCTCACACCCCCCGGACTGCTCTGGCAAGGCGTAAGACCAGACTGTTATGTATTACTTGTTGGATCGATTTTACACTGTTTGTTTTAGTTATGCATTGCTGACATGTTCCAGCCGCACCGGGGAGCTACAAAATAAACACACACTGGGATGCACCCATGAATTCCTTTAACTCAGCAGCCCTTACAGACTCACACCCAGTGAAAGACTATACAGGAGCTTTGCCATAATCCTACTCTCACGGCTCTAAAGTTTGTATCTTTAAATATTAAAAGGGGCTCAATACACCTAATAAGTGCCACTTACTACTGAGAGACCTAAAGACTAAGAAAGCAAATATTGCACTAATACAGGAAATGCAACTCCCCAGATCGGCCCAGAGACTACAAGACAGGAAATATATTAGGATCTATGAAGCACGCACACTACGCAAACGAGCATGCGTAGCGATTCTTATTCATTAACATTGCCTGTAACATATAACCGGAACGCAGGCAAACCCAGAGGGTAAATATGTATCTATAACAGGCACTTTATACCAGTTGTCTGGCAGTCCTAAACTCCCTCCGGATCTTGGACTTAACAGCCGTAAAATACTCTCTTAATAACCCTGTTTCTCCAGTGACCCCAATACTCCGAAACAGAGCCTTCCTGCCGGGAATGGGAGCAAGAAATTTTAAGGGTCTACAATACAAAGGATTCAGAGATATGTACATCTGTACGTGGACAAGGCTGTAGTTACCCATGATCACTTAAAAGAATTAGCTCCCCTACAGACTACTTTCAATATATTCAAATATGGGACATTGCACAGAGAAAAGAGATTAAGGTAGCTGCCAACACCCCTATGGCATTCTTCAAAAGGATATGTTTTAAAGAGACACCTCCAACAGGTCTAATATTGTTGCTCTATCAACACTTGGGCTCAACCTCAGCAGTTAGGGGAGGGTTTGAGATATACCGAACAATTGGAAACCGACCTGGGTGGTGCTGGAGGGTATAGAATGGGAAGACATATGGGAGGCATACACACAATCTTCCATGTGCATGAAATTACAAAAAAAATCATTCAAAACACTTTTCAGATGGTATACCACCCCTGTCAAACAATACCACATGAAATTAAGCCCCACAGACACTTGCTGGAGATTATGCAGATATTAAGGAAGCTACATACACATGTGGTGGAATTGCCCCAGGGTAAGGGAGTTCTTGGAGAAAGTAGTAGACCTGAGCTCTAAGATTATGCAAAGACGGATGGAAGTCAACCAATGGCTGTGTCTCTTATCTAGGCCCACAGAGGGATTGCAAAGGCATAAACAAAAACTGCTCACCATGAGTTACTTAGCTACCCGGAGAGCCAAAAGCACAAAACAGGATAAGCCCAGATTTGCCCTCTCTCTCTCAATAGTCCTCACCAAGATCAGGGACAATTGCTTAATGGACAACCTGACATTACTAGTCTGCAACACCACCAAAACTCTCAATAAGGTGTGGGATTTGTGGGAACAATATGAGGTATAATGGGGCACGAGCCATTTCCGGCATGATGTAGCTCAGGTTGGAAGGGAAGGGGATGAGACAAGCTCTTTCGGTGACATGGGATATTCATCACCGAATTCTCTTACTGTTTACTATCAATTTGTGAGGTATAGCATTTTTACGTATTGATAACCAACCGCACTAGAGGAGACGGTAAACATAACCACGTAGTACTCCATATGGTAGTCTGTTATTTGTTCCAGTTCTTCCTTTTAGGTGGCAACTAGTAAGGAAGTTTGGCAGCAATGCAGTGCAGGAAACCTTGGGGGGACCTACAGCTCCATCTCTGGACGGCAGTCGGGGTCACGGCTCATGGCCCAGAAAGGAGCCCTGGCAGGTAGCTGCTTGGGGGTGCCTGTGGGTGTGGGATAAGCGGTGCTCCTGGGAGGGACAGGGAGACACAGAACACCTCGTCTTCCACTATAGAGGTAGCTGTGAGGCCAATTTTACGGTACGGTTTAAGGCACAAACCAGAACGATATAATCATGCAACGCAGTTATGTCATAAGTTAAAGGTTATGTGTTTTTTCTTTTTGTATTTATTTATAATTTCCACTAAAATGTGAAAACCTTTGACAGTATGTACCCATCCCGTTAATGCCAAAGTAAGCAATGACAAATATTATAACGATGCAACACTACCTCTTTGCAAACCTTCTACCTTAATGTAAATAGTATGATTCGGCTTTTGCAAAAGTCCTGGATAATATACTGTGTGGCCAACAGAACCTCGCCACGGCTTTTGGAGGAGCCTGCTTGCCAGCCTCCTGCCGCAGGACTATGGCCCCTTGCAATAGACCTGGCTAAAATACTTTAAAAGGGGATGGCGAGACCCCAGCTAAGCTGCGGCGGCTAAGGGGCTACGGTGCTTATGGTGTCCGGTGTGGTGCTTATGGTACTCGACAACAGCTAGGAAGCGGTTAGCAGACTATACCACTATACTATCCTGAGATTATAATCACGTGCTCTTTTAAGAGTATATTGCTACACTCTCTTGGAGGAGAGGTCTACCCACTGGAAACTGGATCCTGGTCTTGGGTCCAGGGTGGGTGGAGGACAGCGAAACCGCAACCAAGCTGTAACGCTGGAAGTGGGGACTACAGTGCTGATGGTGTCTGGTGCAGTGCTTGTGGTAGTTGGTAAGCATTAGGAAGCAGCGATTGGCGGATATATATATCTAGAATTTTTCTTTTTAAGTAGGAAAAATATTGGGTTTACTCATCTACAGACAACAAATGGTCAGGTACCCTTCAGCAATGTGGTAAGAAGCCTCTAGTATAATACACTGGGGAAAAAAGGGGTAGATTTATCAAAAGTATTGTTTTCTAAAATGGTACAAAATACCATTGGCAATCATCAAGGAATCCAGCTGGAGTAGCAGGCACATTTCATTGGCAAATCCTTCCCTTTTACAACTTGACACCACTTTTCAGAATACAACACTTATTTATGGATAGGGGGTTATAGTAATCTTCCATAGTAATATTAAATAAAATACTCCTTTAGTCTTCAGTTTTAGAGAAATAGGATCATGGTATTCCTTCACACAGTGATTGCAAAATACTCAGTACAGAAAAAAAAAAAAAAAACACTTTGGTGATATCTCACTCAGCAGAAATACAAGTCTGGAACTCTCGTGTAATGGGAATTTAACATGTTCTGGTACTGTCCTATTAGAAGGAAGTTCTGGTGTTTCTAGATTTTGGAGAAAATGTTTCTTTTACAATGATGTACAGTGAAAACACAAATATTTCTGGCAATCTGTTATGCTGGAGATACAAATGAGTCCATAATTCTCCTATACAGTAGATATAAAGGTTTCTGATATTCCTACATTGGAAGTGGTTTGGTACGGCTCGGCTTCTGGTACTCTTGCATCGGAGGAATCTGGTACTGCAACACTAGCAGAACAGGTATATATGGTACTACAACAGAGAGTGGAAAAGATTCTAGTGTTCTTTTGTGCTTTACATATTGCTGGTGAGTATGCCTGGATGATCTGCTTCTTATTGTGCTATTATTTGTGATCATGGGTAGGAGAAGACTTCTAAGGGATATGTTCACTGAGTAAGCGTCATTTTTACCTGCACGGGGCCAATGCTCTTGTTCCTGCCTCCTGGCATTCCATCTTCCCGGATTGCTAAAAAAAATACAAGCAACATAGGTTAAGACCGGAGAACAGGAACAGAAAGAATTTTGCATTAACATCATAATCCTGCCTAAAAATGTGCATGTGCATAACAAGTTGAGAAACAAAAACTTTTTTTGTTCAACAACTAGGTCATTTTATTCTTAAAGGACCACTATAGTGCCAGGAAAACACTAGTTTTCCTGGCACTATAGTGCCCTAAGGGTGCCCCCACCCTCAGGGTCCCCCTCCCGCCCGGCTCTGCAATGGCTGCCTGGACTAGAAAAGACTGTTTTGTTAATACCTCGAACACGTCAAACACGGGGAAACAAAAACATAAAACAGAACTTCCTTACGCATTTTGGACCTCTAGGTCCTTAAACATAAGAATCTTATGTTTAGGACCTGGAGGTCCAAAACGCGTCAGGAAGCTCTGTTTTGCATTTCCCCAGTTTGAATTTGTGCCTAATAAACATTTGGTTTGATTTTATTGAGCGCTTTCTGTGGTGTTCTTTCAAAATAAACAAGCAGTATTACTTTAACATAGTAAAACTAATAGTAACTTCAAAAAACATAGTTTGCTGGATGAGTTGCTAGAGTAGCAATACAAAATAAGTAATCAGAAAGATATGTATAACAAGCCAGCAAAAAAATTAAATAAATAAATACCATAGAAAGATAGGTATACAATGCCTAAATATATATTGAGCAGGGTTTGTAAATGCCTTGGCAACGTTAACTATTTAACTCACTCAGATTTGCAGACGTTGTGCAGCAGTTAGTCTACAAAAGAAGTAGTACAAAACATTTTTTAAATGCCGTGTTGCCTTACTTTCTAGAGATGGAGTTGTGTGGACCTGCTGCATTAGCTCTGTGCAATTAACAGAAGTAGAAGAAAACCTCCTTTACTGTCTGAGTGACAGCCAGAGAGGTGTTTGTGCCCCCAATTATATAAGTCCCAATTTCTATTTAACTGTACTTTTATGAACAGTCACAAATATAACAAACGTTAGACACATAAAGCACTTAAGCGTGAAGAGCTTTACGTATCTAATGTGTTCTCTCTTTTTTTTTTTTTTTTTTAACAATGGACTGCACAAGTATTTTTGCACTTTTTAGAATAACTTGTCAGTTAATTCAGTTACATATGGGTTTTTACAGTCACTGCAAGTCCCATGGTATTGACTTCCAATTGAATGCATCTATTTGTATCTGTGTTCATCAAATACATATTTGTAAAAATATATTAGAGATACATATTTCTTTAAAGATATTTTTCTTGTGCAAAATAAATTTATATTTACATTTACTAATGGTTACTGCACCCACATAATTAAAAAGAAAAATATTTACTTTTTTTTTTTTTTTTTACTGTAAAATGACCACAAGATGGCAGACATTGGTTTACATATGATGTACATCGGCAAACCACAAAGATTATTTAGTGAAAATTCTACCAACCATACAACTATACTCTCCTCTCTCCTCTCCTCCCCCATCCCCCCACACCCATCTTCACATATCATGCAGCCTTCTGAGAGATGTATTGGCCATGAGCCTAATATACGGTTTCTACTGCAAACCCTGCTGGCTAAGCCAAAGAAAGTAAATACTCCCCTCCTGTGTGCTAATGGGTTGTTAAAACAATCTCCCAAGATGTCACCACCCCTGGCCTGTCTGTTATGATTGCACTGTACAGTTGAATGAGTTTGCAATCATCCTCTAGCCCAGGGGTAGGCAACCTAGGGCACTAGTGCCATGAACGGCACTCGAGGTGCCTTTGCACGGCACTCAAGGCTGCTAGAGCCAAACAGGCTCTGGCCTATTAGGAGTCCCAGTAAAACTTCAGATATCTGCTAATACGAAGAGGTGATGAAGGACAATCCTCAATTTATGCATTGCAGCATGTAGAGGAAGTGATCTCAGCACTTCAATCCAGCACTTGTGAATGGGAATCCACACAGTAGTATAGCAGCTCGCAGTTGTTGTTGCAGCTCCGGTCCTTGACCTGTACCTGGCCAACATGGTCCCCACTGGAACCCATCCACACTGCTAGATATACACAGACATGCAGAAAGACCCTCCCCTCATACAAATAATACGGACAGCCCACACACAAACCGCACAAACATACACACAATCTGCACAAATGCAACACCACTAACAATCCACATACATGCACACAACCCCACATGCAGCCTCTCACATGCAATACCCCAAACAGCCCCCACACATACACACACACTACTAAACACACAATGTGACATATCCATCCACACACACAATTCCACAAGCTACCCCCATACACAGCCCACATTCATATGTATCATACACGATACCACAATCTACTCATGAACATATACAATATAATAGCTCATATACGCACAAATACAACAATACAAAGCAATTACAGTATAAATAACACAAGCAAAATACGACAGCATACACAATTCAATTAAAAAAATAAATTAAAAAAAATAGGACCGGCACGCTACGGGACATCACAATCCTATATCGGCACAGTTCTGCTAAAAGGTTGCCTACCCCTGCTCTAGACTATAAGTTCGTTTGAACAGGGTCCTCATCAACCTACTGTTCTTGTAACATTTTGTAAAGCATTGCAGAATATGTTGGTGTTATATAAATAACAATAATAATAATATTAAGCTTCTAAAGATAGCATCCGAGATTTAAACAGTTGCTGATGGGTTCATAACACAGTAAACTATCAAGGCAAGGGGAGGCAGGCACTTCCGTTAGCTCTCCTGAGTAGGAGGGGGTGTTCTATTATTTAATTTTAAAAAGTACAGATCTCTCATATAAACCTGCACTTTTATAAAGTACATTTTTAAAAGGATACTAATCGCCAATAAATCACCAATAAAGAGCTTTATGGATGTAGAGGGGTCCTTTCACTGTATGAGCCTGATTTTTTTTCCAGGGATTGACATTTGGTTACCATGGCCAACATTTAGAATATGGCAAATGTAGGTCTTGATTAAAATTATTTTGGGTAAGCTTTTCAAATTAATACAATCTGTTAGACTTTAATGGTGACATCTGTAGATAAATTATTTGAAAAGTTTTTCTAAGGGAATTTTTGAATATAAATAATTTTTAAACAATTTCTAACAGATTGTGACCAATTGAAAAGTTTATTCAAAATAATTAAATTGAGACTCTTTACCTATGCAGCATTACTACAAAGTGGAAAAGATGCAACAGTGAGGTTTCTAAAGACAAACTTAAATTCTGCATTTTAATAAGCACAAAATGGCTCTATTATGACATAGAGGTCATGTGCTTACTCATGGGTGATAAAGAAACAGAGGTGAGGTGTGGACAACGGAAGTTGTGAAATGAACTGCTAGTATGAGTGTGCACACATGAAAAAAAAGGAAAAAATACAAACAAGAAATATATAGTGCAAGTCAGAAAATGTCACTCCCTTCAGTGATCAGCAACTAAACCCTATATATAACCACAGCAGCACACACAGAAAATGTAAAGTATACACGGAAATATTTATTAAATATTCAGAAAATAACTGGACACTGTCACAACATGCAACAATAGCTAATGTCCAAAAAACATAAAAAATAAATGATAGGCAAGGGATATGCTATAACTAATATAACTAATATATATCTTGCCTAATATTTCAATAATATTTTATATGTTTCGGACACTAGCTGTTATGGCATATTGTGATAGTGTCCAGTTATTTCATGAATATTTAATACAAATTTTCATGTCTATTTTACATATTCTGTGTGTGCTGGAGTGATTATATGTAAAATGAACTACTCAGACGTTCGGCAAAATAGATTTAATTAATTGACAACTGTTCTTTATTAAAGTTTAACAATTAGTGAAAAATTTCAGGCCTACCAGTTTGCTGAAATTACCATCATTTTAGTAAAATAACCCTTGCTCTGATTTAAAATTATGGCCACATTTTTGCCCCCTTGATCAAAGGTAAAATTCACTGACAGACTACTGGAGTACCACCTCCATTGCCAAACAAGGTGTCTGTGCATTTCAAAGACACAATATGTTACAGTCATAAATTATACTACCACTTCTTTCTCCACTTCCTTCCTTTTGACCTTGTTGAGTACAGTAAATCTATTGCAAGCAGTCATATGACAGTGATGACTCCAGAAACCTCGAACTTCACAACATCTAGTGTCATATAGAGTTCAAAACAAGATAGACATATTGGAGATCAATGAAAAGATTTGCCAAAAGAACTTTCAATTTTTTGACAGTATAAATACCGTTCCTTAAATCAGTTTTCTTAAAAGGCTAGAATCTCAAAAAGGCTGGTTTATAAAACTTATTATTTATCTATTTTTTTTTTTTCATGACACCATCTTAATAAGGTTTTAAAATATGTCACACTAGTATTTTTTTTTGATCCAGAAATATTTTTTTTAATGTTATAATCAATGAATATAAACATTTTTATATTGCAGAAGGCCTTGCAGAATTGATATTTACACTGATGATGAATGTAAAATGAAAGAGAAAAATAATACATAATCATCAGTACAGATGAGAAAATACCTAAGTGTAACTTATGAAAGCAAATAAAATGAGAACTGCATAATTTTTTACAGAAATGTTGGACATATCTAAATGTGAGTTTATTTGTATTACAGATCAACATACATTAAGTGTTAATTCTAAAAGTTAATCAAAAATATTAAATCATTTAAAAAGCTTATCCAAAACATTAAATCGATGCCTAAATCTGAATGGAAGAACAGAGGCAAACATTGATCTGGAAAAATTCTCTAAGTTTCTTATTGTCACAACATGGCTGAATTACTAGTATTGTAAATTACCCGGAGTCTCTCACCCTCTGTCCTTCAATAGTCTCTCCCTTTCTCATAGTGTGTGATGGCTGTGTATCCATTATGTGGTATGTGCTGGCTGTGTGTAATCTCTTTGTGTGCGCTGACTGTGTGCAATCTCTCAGTTTGTGGGGTGTGATGGCTGCACGTGATGTATGCTAGCTGTATGTGATGTGTGATTGTGGCTTCTGCTGGCTGTGGTGTTTGTGGTGTATGCTTGCTGTATATGAAGTGTGCTAGCTGTATATAATGTATTTATGTGTGGTGTGCATTCTAGCTGTATGTGATGTGAGTGCATGTGTGTTGTGCCCACCGGCTGTATCTGATGTGTATGTACGTGTGGTATATATGCTGGCTGTAGGTGATGTATGAGTGTGGCTTGTGTTGGCTGTATATGATATGTGTGTGTGTGTGTGTGTGTGTGTGTGTGTGTGTGTGTGTAATGTATGCAGGCTGTATGTTATGTATGGTGTGTGCTGACTTTATGTGATGGGTATAAAAAATAAAATAAGACATAAAGAACAAAGTGGCGCTTATTACAATAAGCAATCTGGTGCACCTAAAAATTACCCAAGTGTAA